CCCGCCGACACTACGGCACGCCTCGTATTTTCGGTATGCCGGTGGGGAAGGGAGGTGGATGCGGCCAAGACTCGAACCGCCTTCCCTCCCCGTTCTTTGACTTTTCCTCTCTTTAAACTATACTACCTACCCGTTGTAGTATCCAGCATGCAGTAGTACCTACTGCATTTGACATTTAACTTTTTGGGAAACTAATTTTGACTTTTCGATATCCTAGGCCCACCAGCTCATGGCCCTTCGTCTGGGCGTCGATCTGAAGCTCTTTGACGCGATAGATGCACAAGTCGGTCCGAGCCCTGCTTCGGCCGAATCTTCAAGTTGTAATCCAAATCAATCATTTGATGTTTCGGCAATATGTGAAGCGTTGTCTCATGCAGACCCGTTGTTGATCCGTAAGTTAAGGCTCTCACCTCACTACGCGCGCCACAGGCAAGGCAAGCCAAGGCGATGCAAGGCTGTTTACGTATTTACTAAATACTTTATTTCCGTGCTTAGAGCGGATCATACGATTTCTGGCCGCCATGGACGTGGTAATTGAGGTGGATCGGAACCACTTCGTCTCGACTCCATTGGCCGCGGCCTTGGTGTCTAGTTCGCCCTTTTCTGCGGCGGTGATCCACAGGTAATAAACTCTTGATCCATTCCAGACCAGACCTCGGCCAAGACAATATTTGTAGATTTGAAGAAAAAGGCCAGGGCGAGAGGAGTCCCACAACTAACAGAGTCTGAATCTACTTAGTACGCATTTCACAACCGTTCTGTCCAGGTTACCTGAATATTTCCACTCCAATGGCTGGAAAAATCCAGACGATGGATTAAATGGGCCGTTTCAATTTGCTCTAGGGACTGAGGCCCATTATTTTGATTTCTTGAGTTCAACTCCTTACTATGGACATGTCTTTGACACGGTCATGTCCATGTCCTTTCGTCGTCGGGGCCGGGACTGGTTTGAATTCTTCCCGGTCGCTGAGCGACTATCCAACTCGAATGATTCCGAGACTTTACTTGTAGATATTGGCGGGGGTCAAGGCGAAGATCTGATGAAGTTTCATTCCAAATTTCCCACTCTACCTGGTCAACTAATTCTGCAAGATCTCCCCAGCGTCATTGAGGGTGCTCGAAAGAGTAAGGATCTTCTTTCATCTGGAATCAAGACGGAGGAGTATGACTTTTTCGAGACACAGCCGGTACGCGGTGCAAGGGCTTACTTTATGCGAACTGTCTTGCACGATTGGCCGGATAAACAGGCAGTCTCGATTCTGGGTCGTGTTCGTGAGGCCATGGGATCCGAGTCGGTGTTATTGATTAGTGAGACTTTACTTCCTGATTCTGGGGCTTTGTTACCTTCTGTGATCTCGGATATGCAGATGATGGGGTCGTTTGCGTCGCTTGAGCGGACGGAAGATCAGTGGCGGTCACTTCTTGATGCTAGTGGGTTAAAACTGGTGCATGTTTGGTTGCCGGATGAGTGTGATCGCAAGGCACAGTCGTTAGCAGAACAGCCTGCTCTGTTGGAGGCAAGACTGAAGTAGTAGATAAAGTTTGGAGAGGTGTGGGGGTGAATGTCAGTGGTTGGATGCACTGAGGTAAACATTGCTTGTATAATACATAGTACTTCCCAGCGGCCCCAGTGCTTGGCAATGGGGGCCGTTAAATTGTGTCTGATAGAGATCTAATCATGGAAATACTAATAATCTTGGGAATATGAGAAGATGCTACTTGTAGATGAAGTTACTAGTTGCTCGCAACTGCCAGCAACCCCCGCTCACTGATGTATATAGTATGGGATGGATGGCTATATAGTCTTGACTATAATAAATGCTGCCAATCTGTTGCTAATTTAATAATACGGCCAAGTAGGTAATAATTGATCCTAGTACTAGTATCTTTTATAGGATCAGGTATCGATCAAAGGCGGACTCGGGATGACTTCTTATATAGATCGTGCGAAGCAACCTCATACTTCGTATATCATCTCGTATGCGGGATCTGTGAGGTTACGAGGCTGCGATATTATTAGGCGTGCCGAGCGGGGCTAGGTAATCCTCATAATCCTCATTTGGGGGCCAAGGATTGCGGAAAGGGGAAGTCCCCGGCTGCACAGCGGATGGTGTTGATTGACCATCAAGTTCGATTTTGAGGATAGATTGGATCTGGGACGACGCTCAGCAGAGAATATGATATAATTTCACCTCTTTAACAGGCTATACGAACTACATCGAGTGGTTTCCAGAGCCCCAGCCATCGCCAAGACTCGTACACGCTGCCCGATGCGGGTGGGGCTGAGGGGGCTTCGCATTCCTTTTGCGAATACGAAAATAGATCAGAGGAGAGATTCTCTTATCATGGTAGATGTATGGGGGTTATTGGTATATTTGAGTAAGTCAACACCACTATTCATTAGCATGTTCATATTTAGACTATTTTCTTTACCTTCAGTGATCTTGAGGTAGTATATCTACTCATATACTGGTGAATCATCGATCTTTAATATCCCGCTGGGACGACCCGAACTCCACTCTCAAAGGGGAAACTGGCCACATGCGATGGCTAAAGTCTTTCTCCGCCCGCTCAGCCCTAATCCACTCCTCTCCTCTCCTCTCGTGTTCTCTCCTGAACGACTTCTCTTCTCCTCGAACCTCCTCCCATTTCCATCTCCTTCGCCCTCCGTGTGCCCCTGGTGAATCGTATCCAGGCACTTCCGCTCGCTCAGCCCTACCCCCTTTTGTACGCGCCCGACCGAAACCGAAAATTCTTGGACACCGCAATTCCGCCCACCCTCACCCCGGACTGAACGGCGACTGTATATACCGGAGCATGCGACTACTTCTATAATTCACCAACCTGATATAACGATGCGATTCATGACTCCGGCGCTGCTGGGCCTCGTTGGCCTGGCCTCTGCTGTCGCTCTCCCCGCCAGTGGCACAGCCACTGCGCCGATTGAGGCAGTCGAGACTGGGAACTCAAGCCCCGACGTCACCCCTGACAGCAAGGAGATCCCTACCAAGTTCACTGATGTGCGCGAAAAGATCGTCAAAGAATACAAGAATGTGGATGAGATCCCCACCGCCAAATACTTCAGTAAGTGCCTAATCAACAGCCCCGGGGTGCCGCCTCATCTTGACAGGGGCCGCGCGGCCGATCCTCAACTCTAGAAGTCATTTTCGTGGACTAACAATATTTTTCTCCAGCTGAATCCAAGTAGGTTGGGATCCTCCCACCTTGAATTACTCAGGGAATTGCACGAAAATACTGGTCGGAGATACTAACTTCTGGTTTTCTTTCTAGCTTCCACTATCATTATGACGGCCGGTATGTTGATTTTGTCTCAACCCGACCTTACCCTAGGGTACCCTTATCCCTCTGCTTATTGCTAATGTCCCGCCAGATTCGCCGATAAGCAACTGCCCGAAGAAAAGGTCATTCCTTACCTGTCCGCCTTGATTCAAACATACTTGTCGACGATGGAATCCATCGGTGCCGAAACATGGATCATGCACGGAACTCTGCTCGCTTGGTGGTGGAACCAAAAGGTAAGAGCGTTCCCACGACCAGGAACGCGGGTCTGGAACCACGCGCTGACCAGACTTCTGAACAGATCTTCCCTTGGGACAATGACCTGGACGTCCAAATCTCCGAACCGACGATCCATTTCTTGGCGGATTACTACAACATGACGGAGCACCACTTCGAGATTCCCGACGGGGAGGCGGAGGGCCGCAAATACTTACTCGAGATCAATCAACACTATGCCGTCAAGGATTACCGCGACAGACTGAACGTCATCGACGCCCGCTGGATCGACATGTCCTCCGGTCTTTTTATCGACATCACCGCCGTGCGCAAGGATGATACCAAGGAGTCGGGGTGGCTGATGTGTAAAGATCATCACACCTATCAGCAGGACCAGATCTGGCCCCTACGTGAAAGCTACTTTGAAGATGTTCCCGCCAAGATTCCCTATGCTTATGTTGAGCTGCTGAAGGAGGAATACGGCGCCAAGTCACTTACCAACGGAGACTTCCATGAGTGCGTTCGCATCTCCCAGTTCCACGGGGTCATATTATTTCCTGGTTCACTTTTGTGCTAACTCTCTCTAGCCACCACTTTAACGACAAAACCAAGATTTGGGACGAGGTGAAGAAGCAAGCGAAGCGCTTCCTCCCTCGAGCCTTGGGCGGCGGCAAGCCGAAGTCAATCCGCTCTCTTGGAATTCGACAATACGCATGAGCATTTGAAAACGCGACTATACACCTTTGATCTTTGTTAATATCCGAGCATACTCGTCATATCTTGCGCCCTATGTTTATATCTGTACCTTGGGTGAACCGATCCTAGGAATTTTCCGATGATCTCTTTTCTGCATATACACGGCGTTGGCATACGTTTGGACATACGTTTGGACTGGAATCTACTGTACCAATTATCTTCTTCTGTATATATTCATAGTTATTTGAAGATTCTTATGTGTGAATCTACTTGATGATCTGTGTCTCTTTTCAAGTTCTCTTTGTTTTTGTGAGGGCTGCTAAATGGACCATGGGACGGTATTACTGCAAAGGTTTCTAACTCCCTGTTGTCTACCATTCAAGTTAGTCACTGTCTAATAGCAGACTAGTACCTACCCAGGATAGAATAGATTAACTACTCTCTTCAATCTCAGGTAGGTACTAGTCTGCCATAGGAAGGCGGAAACTAGAGAGGTCAACAAGGGACTATAAACATTTTCAGCGCCATAGACGTAGATTTAAGTGTATCTAAATTTCCAATTTCCAAGTTCCAATTATATTCAAACTTTCGGAGTTCGGTGATTGGTGATCCGTCCGAGACGGACGGAGATACCTTTCCCAGCCTGGCCTGGATTACCAGGCTGACTCACTCACCAACACGAACCTTCACTCCGAGTCTCGCACGTGGTTTGGCCCCCAGGAATCAGTTCCTTTTTGACCTCATCCTTGTCCCACCATCAACTTCAAAGTCCATCCCGACCGGGAAGAATGTGTGCCAGCCATGTCCTACCATTCAGCGTCTCCGGAGGGGGTGCATCTATCCCCCACCAGTGATAATTCTCCGACCGCACTGCCTGTCTCCGCCACCGCCCCCGTCCACTCTCGGACAGCTCACGGAGCTGTGTCACCTGTCGCCGCCGTAAAGTCCGTTGCAACAAGCGTACACCGTGCTCCAATTGCACTAAAGCCGGTGTCGAATGTATCTTTCCCCCACCGGGCCGAGCCCCGCGGAAGTCCAAGCGTCCACCCGATGCGGAGCTCCTCTCACGCCTGCGGAGGTTGGAGGGCGTCATCGAGCATCTGAGTGGGAAGAACGGCGAGAGTGGGGGTGGTTCGACCTCCAGCATTTCGCCGACTCAGCCTACGCCGGCGACTATCCCCTCCATATCTTCGGGAACCGCCTCCGCGCCCTCGGTACCAACATCTTCAGATGCAGAGAAGAAGCCTCAAAATGGAGGAGGCTGTCCATTTGAGGATGCCGATCCAAAGAAGCCTGCCACAAGGAAGTTTGAAAATGAATTTGGGCGGTTGGTTATTGAGGAAGGGAAGAGTCGATATGTGAGCAATCGCCTGTGGGCGAGTCTCGGAGACGAGGTATATACTGATTCTACAACCTATTTGTGCCTAATTTCAGTCCGTGTAACCATACTGACGCACATTCTAGATTGAAGAGCTCCAGGATATTCTCGACCACTCCTCCTCTGACGAAGAAGACACACTCTCCAAAGATTCCCCCGGATCATCGCATTCGGGCTCTCACGATGGCTTTCTTTTTGGATTCTACTCCCTATCACAATCCATGCGAGAGTTTCACCCGCCTTTCCAGAAGATCTCAATATTCTGGGAGGTCTATAAAGAGAATGTAGCTCCCTTGATCTGTATTCTGCACACCTCGAGTACCAGGAATCTTTTGATCGAGGCGGCCCAGAACCCTGATGCTCTCGACAAAAATTCCGAAGCTCTTGTCTTCTCCATATACCTGTCCGCCATCGTCAGCTTGTCGCCTGAGGAGTGTCTATTGCGATTTGGCGAGGAGCGCAGCAGCGCTGTTAAGCGATATCGTTTCGCCGTGGAACAATCGTTGGCCAGAGCAAACCTTCTTAACACCCAAAGCCTTGGACTTCTGCAGGCGGCGGTCCTCTTTCTGATCTGTGTGCGCCGGGAGGACGATTCTAAATTCGTTTGGTCCATGACCGCGATCATTATCCGTCTTGCCCAGGGCCTTGGTTTGCATCGCGACGGTACCAATTTTGCCCTTCGGCCCTTTGAGACAGAGATGCGTCGACGTTTGTGGTGGCATATTTGTCTTTTAGATGTTCGCGCCTCCGAGGACCATGGCACCGATTCACAGATTCATGAAAACATGTATGATACCCGCCTGCCGTTGAATGTCAACGACGACGACATTTCCCCAGAGATGACCGAGACCCCCACGGAAAGGGAGGGATGCACAGATGTCACATTTTGTTTAATTCGTTGCGAGATTACATGCGCACTACGCCGAGCAAACTACAGTTGCCCAGGCACTCGGTTCAGCATGGGAAATTCCGGTCCGTCCATCGAAAATTGTGAACGCATGATTCAAATCATCAGCAGCCGAGTCGAGGAGCGATATATCAAGCACTGTGATATGAACATTCCGATTCATTGGGCAGCCGCAACCGTGGGACGTCTAATCCTAGCAAAGCTGTGGCTAGTCGTGCACCACCCAATGACCCGAAAAGACCGCGTCACTAGTGTCTCTCAAGCAACACGTCAAAGTCTATTCCTCACCGCGATCGAAGTCCTCGAGTTTGGCCGTCTCCTTGAAATGGACCCGAAGACAGCGAAATGGGGTTGGCTCTTCCGAACCAACATGCAATGGCACGGTGTCGCATTCGTTCTATCAGAAGTTTGCGTCCGGCCAATCTGCCCCGTCACTGATAGAGCCTGGAATGCCATCAGCGCGCTATACGGTGACTGGAAGTCTCAAGCGACGCACAAAAAGGGCATGCTCTGGCGCCCGCTCGCCGCGCTGATGAAGCGAGCCGCCGCAAGCAGAGCCAAGCAGCAAGCGGAGCTTCGATCAAAATTCGGCCCGAACCCTATCCCATATAAACACTCGACGGCTGAATTTGCAGCCGCACATCATCACGCCCTCCCTCATATCCACATGCCGACTGATTCGCCGGCACTGTCACCCTTGCCCGTCCAGGGACCAGTTTCCGACTCCAATCCCAACCCCTTGGATATCGATCTCTCCCAGGGTCCGTGGGAGGCAGTGCAAAACATATTTGGAGATACAAACCTTCTCGCTCCAACTATGCTTGATAACCCTCCTCCCCAAAATCCGACTCTAGCCCCGACTACTGCCCCAATGCCACTTTCTACCCTCCCAACTGGCATAAACTTTAATACACCGCCGAGCAACAATAACAACATCAACAACCCATTCATCACCCAAGAAACCATCCCCGAGCCAGCTCCACTGAGCTGGGAAGAATGGGACCAGGTAATGCGGGACTTCCAGATGGATGTCGAGAATGAAAATGGATCGGTTCCGGCGCAGGGTATTAATGTTACGGAATGGTTTGCATAGATCTTGACCGGGCTGGCGTTTACACTTGGGGTCTCTATGCAAGGTTGGCTCTTGCTTGGACAAATGAGTTCATATTTATTGGCCTTTCCATTTGGTGCTCTCGATGGAATCTTACGATGTGATGATTATGGTGTTATGGGTTCTTTTGGATTGGGCCGCCTCTCCCTTTCTCTTATACCTCCACTCAATGTTTTAGATACTCCTCCCTCTATATAAAGATTTTACGCTATTTTCAAGGTGTGCTGTTGGATTTCTTTGAAATATATGACCAGAAATCAATTTATTCCATTCGTCCAGTACTCGTAAGATCACATACTTTGGTCCCACTCAGCTGAACTATGGCGAGTGGGGACTGCATACATTGTACTATCAACCACGTGACCGACCCCGATAACGAAGCTCCCAGCTGGCATCAACTGGAACTCCATCCCCACGCCATTGCCCACTACCACCTTCTCACTATCGACCCAGTCAAACTCAGAAGCCTGAAAACGGCCACGCCAAAACTCATAGAAAAGAAATCACAACCCCTCCAACAAAACCCCCCATCAATTATCCACCACCATGCCTGCTAAACGACACGCGGCCTCAACCACCTCCGCGGCAACACCCTCGACACCAACACCACTCTCTTCCGGCCCAACGACCTTGAAAACAAATGCCTCGCCCGCTGAAATCGCCCTCCATGTCTGGCACCAGTACACCGCTACTACATCGCAGCGCACTCCTCCTAGATGCTTTCATGGTGTTCCTCGTTCTAGTCGGTGGTCTGCAGTTCTTGTACTGTGTTCTGGCCGGAAACTACGTACGCCCCGTCCCCTTCTACCATCCCACTCCTGGATCATTTTCCAATGCAGAGGAAATCGATACTCCATGGAAGACATTGAATTGGATCGGATTTGAACCGGAATATAGTACCATATACTAACAACCTATACTCTAGCCCTTTAATGCATTCCTCAGCGGTTTCAGTGCTGCTGTTGGCCAATTCGTTTTAACAGCCAGTCTGCGCATGCAGACAAGTGATTCTGGTTCCACTCCTGCCAAGTCTAATTCCAAGGGGAAGACTGCGTCTACTGAGGACAGCGAGCAGGTGACGGGTATTTCGCATGAGAGGTTCGTATATCCCCGACTACTTATTTATACTATGCCTCTTTCCTTTGGAGCAGAGCAATTGTAATTGGAATTGCAATTGCAAATATTGGTTGCTTCGCTTTGCTTCATTTCACCTTACTTCGCTTAAATAGTTGTAACTAACGATCCTCTTTCCACAGGGCATTCGCCGATTTCATCTTCGGAAGTCTGATTCTACACTTCTTCTGCATCAACTTCATCAATTAAGCGCCCGCTCCGGATTCACAAAGACCCAAAGTCGAGCAAGGGCAACGGCGTGTCGACAAGACAGGTATCTATCTGCCATTGATTGATTAGGCGCGTCGGTGGTGTTAAGGGAGGGCATCTCCATCACTAGTCTCTTGTTAGTTCTGGCGCTGGTCCGTTTAGAGAGCTGGTGATTTGGTCTTTGCTTTTCTTTATGAGCTTGAGGCCCTTGCTTTTCTGGTAGGGCCGTTTAAAAGTGGACGAGGTTCGTTCAATCTTAGGGATTTTGGTATCTATCCGGTCCGCTTGACTTGGCATTTCAGTTTGAATGATCATGGTTTCATTGTATAAAATATCGGAGCGAGATTACTGAAAACCTAGTATTATTTTAAGTTTATACCCGGAATCGAAGTAGCGTATTGTTTTAGTATGTGAAGGGTATATTTATTTCGGTTGCTAGAATCTCATCCCGAGGTCCATCGCATCCAGTTAATCCATCTAAAACCTGGGTATTTTACATGATATAATAGTGTATAGAAGCCTGCTGCACTATCCAACAACAAGTGACTAGAACTGACGTCCCGGGCGTCGCGGAATGACAGGTTTCTTGACCACACTGCCTCCTCCACTGCCGCCACCATTTGCACCCGGCCGAGTAGAAGACGAGGCAGACACCCCGCCAATCTTTTTGTTGCCCTTGATAACGGGCCTGCGGACGGCAGATCCACCGCCAGCTTCAAATTCCCTAGTGCGTCGCTTGGGATCGCTACGCTCTTCTTCGCGGATTTTATCCGCCGCGGCGCGTTCACGATCCACTGCCATTTGGGATTCAATTTCCATGCGCTTGTTGAATTCTAGCTCTGTTACTCGGCGTTCACGCTGTGAGTATCCCTTCTCCTTTACGGAGTAGAAGACGCCACCGAGTTCGGCGAGCCACTGTGATTTAAGTTAGATGGGATTTTTGGATAAGGGATGATTGGGAGATTCAAAAAACTTACGTGAGGGTCTACAGCTGTCACGGTAGACATGTATTCCTTCGCTGTCAGAATGAGCTCGTGATACACGACATACTCAGGGACGTAGCCTAGGCCATACAAGGCACTGGTAGGGTGCAGGGCCATTGTAACGCTGGTGCGAAGGTTGATGAACTCGCCAATACCCTTGACGCGTGCGGCTTGGTGGTAGAAGCCAGAGCAGATACATTTCCGGATAAGATCCCAGTCTGTTCCGCAGCTGACGAGGCTCATTTTTTGAACGGTCATGATGTCGTGGAGCTGGTCGCGAACTTCCTTGGCGCGGCGCAGAGTCTTCGCGTGGAGGAAGTGCCTGGTGCACCAAGCGTCGGAAAATCCGTTGGACTTCCATTGAGTGTAGACGTGGAGAAGGGTTAAGTGATCTGATTCGGGAACGAAGAATTTCTCGCGGGCGGAATCAGATTCTTCTTGTCGTTCCTTTGGTCGATAGAAAACGTTGGGGACGGAAAGCATTGACACGATAGTGAGCATTTCCTCACTGCATCCGTATTCTTCTGATGCCATGATGAGTAGTTTGGCCAGAGGGGGGTCCATAGGGAATGGCGTCATTTGGCGACCTAGATGAGTGAGTTCACCCAGATTGTCAAGTGCTCCTAGGGACCAAAGCTCGAAAAGAGATGTACTGATGGTCTCCTGGGGTGGAGGATCCATGAAGTCGAAGTCGAGAAGATCCTTGACCCCTAACGACTTCAATAAGAGCACTGTGTTCGCAAGACTCGTTCGTTGAATCTCGGGAATCGTTTGTATATAGAGCTCATTCTTATAGGCAGGCTCGGTGTACAGTCGATAAGCCTTTCCTGGACCGGTTCGTCCAGCCCGACCTGATCGCTGGTTCGCATTGGCCTGGGAGATTGGCGTGATTTGAAGCGTGTCCATACCCATGCGCGGGTTGTACACCTTGAGTTTAGAATAGCCTGCATCCACGACGTACATGATACCGTCCACTGTCAAACTGGTTTCGGCAATATTCGTGGCAACAATGACCTTGCGCACGCCAGCGTCTGCCCTTTCAAAGATCTTTGCTTGCTGCTCAGCTGGCATCTGACTGTAAATCGGGAGAATGCTAAGCTTTGGTGGATCATTAAGCAATTTCAATCGTTCGTCAACCAACTCGCAAGTAGCCTCAATATCCTCTTGTCCGGTCATGAAAACAAGAATGTCGCCGGCACCTTGCGAGACGTGAATGGCCAAGACCTGCTTGACCGCACTATCGACATAATCCTCACAAGGAGTACGTGAGAAGTGAAGATCGACTGGAAATGTTCTTCCGGGGATGATGAATTCTGGGGCGCCGCCATAGAAACGTGAGAAGCGATCCGAGTTCATAGTGGCCGAGGTGACGATTAGCTTGAGGTCCCGTCGGCGAGCGAGAACCTTTTTGAGAAGACCCATCAAGACATCGGTATTCAAAGCTCTCTCGTGCGCCTCGTCCATGATGATGCAAGAGTATTTATCAAGATCGGTTTGAACGAGAGACTCTCGCAACAACACACCATCCGTCATATCTGTATACATTGTTAGTAACAGCGCACGTACTGGGGACCTTTACAGAGCGGCACTCACATTTGATCATAGTCTTAGTACTTGTGCAATCCTCGAAACGAATCGCGTAACCAACTTCATCGCCGAGATCGACCTCCATCTCCTCGCTGACACGCTTTGCGACACTCATGGCAGCAACACGTCGAGGCTGTGTACAGCCAATCATGCCAAACTTTGAGTAACCGTCTTCGTGTAGGAATTGGGTCAACTGGGTCGTCTTTCCCGAACCAGTCTCACCAACAACCACAACGACCTGGTTATCCCGAATGACTCTCAACAAGTCCTCGCGCACCGCAAAGGCAGGGAGGAACTCTCTTTGCTCGCGCAAAGTCTTGCTCTTGCTGAACGCGCTAGCGCCACCTTCCTCTTTTTTCAAGTGTTTGGAGAACTTATTACCACCACTTTTATAAACATCCTCCACAGGCGCAGCCACAGCACTATCGCCTTCGTCCTCCTTGACTCCCATCAGGTTACCCAAAGCTGTACCGGCCATGTTTGTAGCTTCCTGGGCCTGCTTTTGTCGCTCGCGTTGTTGCCTGCGGTCGCGAACGACTTTGCTTCCCTTCCGACTGAAAACAGCCATATCGCTCTGAGGGTCTCGAATAGCTGAGATCGGCTCTAGTTGCTTTGTGAAGATGGTGCGGCCATCAAGGAACGGTGGTCGGAGGTCGTGGACCAGCAGATGAACTCGAGTCCCTTCTTCATCTTCGGGCCTGAAGTCGTCGCCATAATCTCTCCTTTGCGCGACACCAGACGTAAGCATACGATTGGTTTCCCAGTTGTCAATGTCTTTGCGTTTGGCATCGCGGAATGAGGGTGGAATATTCGAGGCATTCTTCTGCCGCTTGGCCGGCGGGCCCGAGTCGTTATGAGACATCGCTATGAGATATTTCGGTCTGATGACCGACGAACTGCGATAGCCCAAACGCGTTCGAGTTCGGGGATTGGAGCTCTGATGACCTTCGATGAACGTTCAATTATCGGATTGAGGCAGGCAAACACTGCAAACCGTTATCAGTCACGTGATATGCCTTCCTTTTTGGACGATGGGAATTATATAATGATATTTCTGTGTGGAAAATAAGTTTAAGATAAATAAAATCAATTTAACAAGATTGAATTTGATCTAAGTCTGCTCAGGTTGTTTCCTCAATTCGACATTTCCATATCCATAGTCTTGTTCTGTCCTGTGCTGAGAGTTTCCACCGCGGCGGCCGCCCGCAACATTCAGCAACCGCCCCGCATCGTCATCTCAACTTTTGAGCTCCCTGAATCGCATTGCATCGGGTCCGCACAACATCACCATGTCGAGCCAACAACAAATTGATCCGAAGAAGCAGCAGGGTAAGCTGCCCCTCCAGATCATTCTCATCAGTTTTCTCGCTCGCTGACCCTCTACTCCCCGCAACAGAGCTGCAGCTTCAGTACACCAACTTCAAGAATACCCTCCAGCAACTAGCACAGAAGATTGGCGATATCGAGCAAGAGGCCGAGGAGCACAAGTGAGTCAGAATTTGATTTGCGCTGCCTATACAAAGCCACGAGCATGGATTGTGTTCTAGGTGGGAAGGGGAAACCTACAACCTCGAACCTGGCCTGGCGCTCAAACTTCGAAACACAATGCTGATTCAACTGCTTTTCTCTGCGATCTAGGCTTGTCATTGAAACACTCGACCCTCTTCCTCAAGATCGGAAATGCTTTCGCATGGTGAACGGAGTTCTTGTTGAGCGCACTGTCCAGGATGTCCTCCCGACATTGAAGACCAACTCGGACGGACTGAAGCAGGTGCTGGAGGATATGTTGAAGCAGTACAAGACAAAGCAGTCGGATCTGGATAACTGGAAGGTGAGTTGAACCGTTCCGTTGAGCTTCCAAGACCCAGAAGTACTTGTAACGTGTGAGGCTAACCACTTTTCTTTCCGCGCCACAGAAGAAGAACAACATCCAGGTCGTACAGCCATGAGCAACTCTACGCTCGTGAATAATCTGTTACCGGTCTCCTCGGGTGCAATGATCTACGGAGGAGCAAGTGGCTACTGGCGTTTCGTTTTCGGGCAAGGCATCCAACCAGATAAAATATAGCGTTTCACTTGGCCATTTGGAATAAACAATCAAAATGACACGAGGCATGGACCTGTGAAGACCCAAAGGACGCAAAGTACCTGATATTCTAAGCCGATCTTGTAGATATTCATGGATTGTACAGGGTAGACGGGCTACGATATACCTGTCACTGGCGTCACTATAGTCTCACTGTGCAGCTAAACGAGGCCTAGCCTGGTTGACATAATGTCTGAGCACCATACACATGACCGTTAGTGTATCCAAAACAATGGGTACCTTAAGATCCTCTCACCTTCGCCTGCATGATGGTGGATGCAAGCCTCAATGCCTGACCATCGAACAAACCAGATGCGTCGGGCCCTGGGGACCCAACCTGCCGGGGCATGGATCGACGAGAATCGTTGACACAAGTCAGAACCTCAATAATGAATCATCTTGTAGTTGTCATGTAACTGACCAGTTACCATTCACTGTACGCACTTATGTATACATACTGGTGGTAACTATACATATGGGTGGGTGTGTACTTGAGAAGTAGTGTAATACAAATACACAAATACACATGAAAGCGGGAGTTGATGGGGCTGGATAGGGTAATAACAATACCGGTACTCACGGGCAGTTGCAACTTCGAGCTGAACCTCTCCTCTCCTCTCTCTTTGCTTCTCTGAGACCATTCCATTTCTCTTCGACTCGCGCGGCTCGGTCGGAAATCCTCATATTCAACCTTATCCCGATCTTCGATCTCTTGGTGGGTCAATACATCCTCTGACTTGCGTCCTACTTGGTGAGTGGTCAACCCGGGTTCCTATTCGATCAGGGAGTTCTGGTTCGCCAATTGCTCTCAAGCCGGGCCTCCCCCCCCCAAACTCCCCCTCGGCGCTCTGACACCACCCCAGGCGAATCGGAAGAATCATACGTCCATTGGATCCCTGGACACTTTATTGCCTCATCGCCTCAGGCTTAGGTTAGTTCTTGCTTTGCTTTACCCCCGCGCAACCCTGCACAACGTGCGACGGAAGTTGGGCTCTCCCCAATCCGACCCACACCCTCCGCTTCCCGCGTTGCATCACACATCCCTCCACTTCCCCCCCCCAGCAGCTCAAAGAAGTTCCCATCCCAACGCGTGAGGCGCGCGCGCATTGGTATTTGCACTGCAGTTGGTGTGACGCGATCGCAACTATACCCTTCCAGCCTTTGCTATCCATCCCCGTTTTGGCCCCCAGGAGGCTAATCAGGTCTGCGCACGAGCGCGTCGCAAAGTATACCGGAGCTCCTGCTGCAGTACTGTCAAGTCTCTCTGCCCCCCACCCTAGCTGACATTCTCGAGGCGACCGTGAAGTGTTCGTACCCAGCCAATACCACATCAGCCCCCCCCTCCCTGATCTGAACCTGACCACCCACATCCCATACCCACTTCCACATACGCAGCCGATCTTGGGCTGTGTCTGCACACCGGAGTTGAATCGCGCGCGCGCACCGCGCACCAGTCATTCGGGATTTACTGACGTGGACGTGCCAACAGAGTGAACCCTTGCCTTGACTTGACGCCCAAAGGACCCGCCCCGAGGCGTTCAAATATTCATTCATAATCATGTCGTCGACCTCGCCCTCAAAGGAACCGGAGGTAGACCCCGAGGTGCAATCGGGCGACGAACAGGAGCATATGGAGAAAGATTCGCACGACCACGCGATCGCACAGGGCGAGTTCGAGGTGAAAGAGCAAGATCGGTGGCTTCCGATTGCAAATGGTTAGTTGCGTCGCCTTGCAGGCTTTTCGGTTGTTCTGATTTGCGCGTACCTTGCTGCTGATGACGGACCACTACCGTCTGCTGCTTCTGTCTTCCCCGCCTTTTTTGTCCGCCCTCTCAGAAGCTTCCTCTCCCCGCGAGATCCACGAGATGCGTGAAAACGCGCGCGAGGAGCTTCGATGGGAATTGATTTCTCGCCCTTTGCGCTTTTGATAAATCTGCGATCACCGAGACCGTCGCATACTGGATGTCACCATGCTAATATTCAATCTATAGTCGCTCGCATCATGAAGCTCGCCCTACCTGAAAACGCAAAGATCGCAAAGGAAGCTAAGGAGTGCATGCAAGAATGCGTGAGCGAGTTCATCTCATTCATCACTAGCGAGGGTTAGTATCTTATCCATCCCATGTCTGTTTGAGAAGAGAATGGCAAATTCTAACGAGTAAAACAGCCTCGGAAAAGTGCCAGCAAGAGAAACGAAAGACGGTCAACGGCGAGGATATTCTCTTTGCCATGACTTCGCTTGGATTTGAGAACTACGCTGAGGCCCTCAAGATCTACCTCTCTAAATATCGCGAGACTCAATCTGCCCGCGGCGAGAACCAGAGACCCCCCAGCAGCGGTTACGGTGGACCTATCCCCGGTACCGCTGGTCAAGGTCGTCCCGGGTTCCCCGACAATGCGGAGGGGGCCAACAGCATCATGAACCCCAGCCTGGACCCCTCGCAGCAAGATCCTTCAGCCTACGGGTATGCACCTATGGTTGGTGAACCACACAACGGTGCCGGCGCCGACGCGTACTAGGAAGACGAGCGCTTTGGATTTGATATTCAGGGAGATGGCGTCGGGTTTATTCCATAGGGTATATTCGGGACCCGAGTTTATGTGTTTTTGGGCTTGTTTTATTTGTGGTGGCGATGCGGCTGACCCCCACTCAGGAGGAAAGACTGCTGAGCCTACTTTTGGAGTTTATGCGGAACTTTTGGCGGGATAAATGATGGCAACTTGTATTTATGACCGATGTCTTCTTCTTTTTTTTTCGAGAGCATGAACAGGCTTTCCGATAGAAATGAGACACCTCCGCGGCCAATGAGGTCCTTGCCTTGAAATTGTTACTCCTATAGTTCCTGTCGATCCTGTAGGGTAGTTCCTATACTTCCCGAGATTGAGTTTCCCAGCCAGCTGCAATCTACGGAGTATAAGATAAGCTGGTCTCGTGATTGGCTGGGCGCGTGACATAGTATGGGCTGCCGATGCCCTGAATAGTATGTTATTAGAGAAAGAGATGTGAATTGAGATCAGTATTCAATTGAGGGATTGAGGAATGAGTTAAAATGTTTCTAAATACACACAAGTAAGCTTTAGACTCAAGTTTTATCTATCTACTCGTACACCCAATTCTCGGGATTTGCCTCCGAGAATATTACCTAAGCCTCCGCATCCACGTGAGCCCCTCCCCGGTGCCGGGCAGGGCCCGAACCCGCAAAGTCCCCTCAAGACCTTCCGAACTTTTTCGTGCTCTACTACGCTCGGCAATCGTTCTTATTACAGCATGCCTTGAGATCTCCTCGTGAATGACACTTCCACAAAATAGTGCAGGGCAGTGGCTGGTCTGCACAGGGAATGATGTCGATGCTTCTTCGCCGGCCATGTCCTCCACCAACGATAACGCCCCCTCGCCGCTCCCAGCCGACGGGGTGAGCAAGCGCAAGCAGGGTATGTGCTTTGGCTCCTGATTTCTGTTTCTTCTGCCCCAATCCTATATTATTTTTTGATTTTTGGTCGTGAGGTCACCCATGATCTCCCCAGTTTCCCTTCAAGCTTCCCACGAACTAGGTCGCATGAGCTATCCTTGCTGACCAGTGACTCAATTCTACTATAGGTTCCGCCGCCTGCGTCCACTGCCACCGGCGCAAGGTCCGCTGCGATGCCCGCGTCGTCGGGCTTCCATGCACCAATTGCCGCAGCTCTGGAAAGTCTGATTGTCGCATCCACGAAAAGAAGAAGCGCCTGGCGGTGCGGTCGATCCTCGACCCCGTTCCGATCCGATCTCGGCCTCTACCAACCCCAGACCAGGTCACCAACCCTGTCACAACGGCAACTGCCTTACCTCCAAGCTTTCCCACGGCGTTTCCGAGTGGCCAATCTTCGACACCGCTAACCGGTGGTCCAACACAACATGGTTTCCTATCGAATGTTCAGCCGGAGCCCTTTGGACGCCAAGGCCCGGACCTGTCGCATGCTCATGAAGCTCACACAGAAATGGAACAGCATCTCGTCAAATTGATCGACGAAGAGGATTCTGGTAGACGAGAGATCCAGCGAGGCGTGCGCGCCTTCTACGTTGGCCATGAGCATTCGAATATGTCATTCTTGATTCGTCAACAGCGCGATCAAGATGATGATGTATACCATTTCGCCAGCAATGAAATTCCCCGGAGACAGATGAAGACTGGTCACGACCAGCTACTAATGGATGCATTGACACTTCCTGAACCAGCTCTAGCGGATGAGTTGGTGCAGGCATATTTTACCTATGTCAATCCAGGATACCCAATAGTGGACGAAGATCTGTTCATGACGCAATACCGAAACCGAGATCCCGCGGATCCACCGCCAGTTTTGCTTCTGCAGGCCATCTTGCTAGTTGGTTCGCATGTCACTCGAGGCAAGGCTGAGCGCGACACACTGAAAGAGATCTTCTTCCGTCGTACAAAGTATTTGTTCGACAATCGCGTTGAACGCAATCGGGATATCCTCGTACAAGTCGCCCTGCTCCTTACCTGGCATTCAGATAGCGCCGATGACGACGTGGCTGCAGATGCACACTTTTGGGTCGGCGTAGCTGCACGGATTGCTACCGGTTTGGGAATGCATCGAAACCCTGTCTCCAGTCGCTTCGTGACTCGGGACAGGAGGATGTGGAGGCGGGTTTGGTACATTATCATACAGTTTGATGTCATGGTCTCTCTTTCATACGGCCGACCGCAAGCGATGTAAGACGACACCGATTTCACGCTTGGTCGATACATACTAACTAAGTTTAGAAATTTGGATGATTCAGATGTGGCACCATTAACCCCCGCAGATTTTGAGAATTGTGGCCCACACGTTCAAACAGAGTTTGTGATCAATTTCACCGAGCTTTGTACGATGATCTCGTATCTCATTCGGGACCGATTTGGCCTTCGGGCATCCGACGAACGACGGAAGGCTGTTCTTCAAGAAGCCGACGAATCGCTAGCCAATTGGTCTCTCAAACTGCCAGATAATTTACGACTCCGTGCATCAGATATGGATCCATGGTCTGCTATGCTCCATCTGACGTACAACAACTTCCTCATTCTGCTGCATCGACCTCACCCCCGAGCCTCGGCGTACTCAGACGACTACGGGCCACACGATGCAGAAATTTGTAGTGCTGCAGCAGGTGTCATTGCTTCCATCTTCGAAGAGCTCAGACTTAACGATCGCCTGAAGTTCCTTTGGTACACCGGCGTCCACACGCTATTCACCGCCATGATCCAAGTCCGGGTCGAACTCCGATTCTCGAACCCAGTCCTCGCGATCAACGCGCTTCGCCGCTTCGATTCGGCCTCTTATTCTTTGCGAGAATTGGCTCAATACTGGGTCCACGCGGGTACAATCCTTCGTCTCTTTGAAGACTCGAAGCGTCTCCAGGATGACCTACGTCTTGATCGAACCAAGCAACCGTACAATGGCACCCAAGCGGCGAAGTTACCTGTCACGACACCAGACGCCGCGGCAGCTGTCATGGCCTCTCAAACACCCCAGCCACTTGGATTTGGCGTTCCTACTCCGGAATCCACCCCCATGCAACATACCACAATTTCCCCGCAAGCACATGCCACTCCACAATTCGATAATTGGATCACTGCACCCCTCAGACTCAATGTGGGGCCATTGGAAACAAACGATCCCTATTCGAGTACCCCCATGCAGGTGGACCACATGGAACAGAGCCGCGATTATCCAGATTGGAGACAGCTTTTCTCTTTCACGGATGCGGATCTACCCGTCTCCTCCATGCCGATGGAAGGACTAATGGAATTGGAGAACGAGTGGCGCCAAATTTATTGGCAAGATACCCCGATGGCGGATCTGATGCAAGATGGCGGCTGGATCCCGGGCTAGTCTACTGTCCCGCTTGCTTTCCTCCCCTGTATATACCCGAAGCTTTGTCGTGATGAGACAACACGACGCTCGGAACTTCACCTTTACCGCCACAATACCTACAACGACTTCCCCAAACCATCACCCCCGGCTCTCTGACAACCACGAACGAGACGAGATAAGAGATACGCGGGAGGCACAGCCTTCCACGAGGCTTATATAAAAGACCCGTACGATACCATGCCTTACACGAACATAAACAACCCTTTTTTCCAATAGAGATATACACTGTTACATAACCGCAAGAAGATTGACTGGGTAAAACAAATACAATTTTTTCAGTTCCAATTCAATTCAGATGAGAGATCCTTAACTTTTGCGTGGGGTATTTTCGGTCCTTCTGTTGTCGTAGACAACCTGAAGACAGCCCTCATACGGACGAGTCACTTCGAAAACTATTGTGAAGAGCTCTGATTCGACGAAGATCAAGATACGATGAATAGCAAGCCACGTGTAACCAGTAGAAGACAATGAAGTAATAAGCTTAGGGAAAGGAGGAGGAGGAGGAGTTACCAGGTAACAGGCGAATGGGTGCCGGAACGACTCGGAGGCAACGAGGCAACGACCATCCGATTCGTACAACGACTGACACTAATTCCATCTCGACCAACTTCAAGTTCTAGCTTTCCTAACTCGCAGAAGTCTCCTTGTGCAATTGATGGGATGGGGTGTATTCCCGCCTTTACGCGTTGTAGCCAATGCACGCCGCAACTTTATGCGGGTGATCCTCGTGTCCCGAACGAACGACTTCAGCAACAAACGAGCATGAGATCATGGTTGGAGAGAGGGCTATACTTGCGGAAGAGAACCAAACCGCTGGGCTCAACCGGGGTTTTAGTGCTACCGTACCATCGGAATTTCCTAATTTCTCCTAATTTTGCCGGCTGAGTGCAGAAGACGCCATAGAGATGACATGGCAGGTAAGCAATCGTTCGGGTTTGAAAAAAGAAAATCCAAAATAGCCTCCAAATTATAAGCCCACTCGATCTGGAACGCGGGGTCTATTTCAAGAAGCTTTGGAGTAGGTGTTTGCAGCAGCTGAGAATGCATTTGAAGAATTGATAGGCTCGATCTGCTCGATCTGGACTGTTCCCTGCGGCTCCGGGGTGTTCACGAGGGGCGCATATGCACTCGATCGAGAGGTCGAGTCCAAAGCCCTCTTTGAATTCCGTAGTTGATCGAATACGCCCTCAATTTACGATCGAGCCCAACTTCTGCAAGCCCGATGCCCTGCACTGCTCCAGTACTTCTGTACGTCTGATGCCCTGGGTTGTCCAGTACTTCTGTATGTCCGATGCCCTCTATCCAGTACTTTCGTACGCCTGATGCCCTGAGTTGTCCAGTACTTCTGACAGAGCGCGCTCTCGCCATGGGACTCAACGTCATGTTGTTTCTTAACTCGATCTGCCCAATAGACATACTCCGATCCTTTGCACGATCTAGACCGGTTGAAATTCTGTATGCAGCTTTCTAGCCCAGCGATTCGCTGAAATGCCCTTGATCACCCCAATGAGTAGAGTTTAATATCATACATAAAATATTCTTGGCGGGAGAGGGCAAAGGGGATCCAAAGCGAATCCAATAGTGCAGAGGCTTGCGTAATTGCAGAGAGGGTATTCTCGACTGAGACTCGTCAACTTTTCTTTCCTTCTCGATGCCCAGGTGCTTGAACCCTGGGAGCCGGAATGAGGGCTTTTGCTCCTTTCAAACTACTATATAAAGAAGCTGGTTCGCCCCCGCTGACTGATTTATTCGGGATCAAAACGTACCACCGGCTTACTACTACTACTCATTGTCTCCTTTTTCTAACTACTGGTGTAGTAGCGACAACCCATCTATTTTTCCCTCCCCAATCGGGTTTTTCATGGAGAGATATGGCACTCATAGCTCGAGGCTCCCGCTAAGTGAGCAATGTTTGCCCGACGATAGTCCACTGATGTCCAATTCTGTCCCTCTCGGAAAGGCTTCCCAATCGACAAAACTGCGCACCTATTCGCCCACGAACAATCGTTTCACAGCTATCTCCTCCCATCAATCTGGACCAGAATATTCAGAACGTTTAGAGCCAACCCAGCTTGACACCAACCTGATCGCAGAGATGTTAATTCAAAACATGTCCTCTATTGACCCTGTCGCTGCCTCCCTGAACGCTCCAATCCACCAAGAGATGCTGCTCTTTCAAGCTATGTCGGCCTATGACGCTACCACTATAGACGATCCAACTTTATATCGAGAGATCATGCTTGAAGAGGTTTTGCTCTGCGAGCCTGCTGTCCCGGACACTCCAATAAGACAAGATCATGTTGTCTATTCGGCATTGAGGAGTCCTCCACATACCCAGGACAATAGGACGTCTGAAACTATTAGCATGGTCAACGGTAGTGGAAGCAAGTCTAGGTCTCTGGGAGATGCTTCTGGAAGCAATATCGCGAACTTGTATGTCTTGCCCATCTCTTCCATTGCAAAATTTTACTCACCCTTTACAAAGACAGCTCGACCCCGAAGAACTTAGGTGTCGCTGGCTGGGCTGCACTCACCTTCGGATCTTCTCATGTGAAGCAACTCTCCTACGACACATTAAAACGGTCCATATCGCTCCAAAATCATACAAATGCTCCACCTGCGGCTATTCCAATGGTCGTAGGGACAAGTTTCGTGATCACTTTCGGCAAGTTCACAGAAATGAGGTTAAAGAAGCCGTATTTGATTAAAAATGAACATTTTGCATCTATATAATAGGTCAATTAAAATGATTGATTTGTCAGCTTCTTCGATAGCCATGCGATACCACGCTAAGTCCCCGAAGCATTCAATCCATGTCTGAAATATCTATGGAAAGTTCTCCAAAGGCAAATTTGAGGGATTCTGGTATTGGCAATGTATATAAAACTTGAATGAAGCATGTATTCCAGATTGCAAATCTATCTTATAGCCGCGATTCAGGTTTTATTTCGATTCACTCCAAACCTGAACTTCTTGACATGTGTCCATTTTAGGGACTGCTAGTACTCTATAATCCCTCAATATGCCATGTGCCTATTTCTTATCTTGCATTGAACCCTCTAGGATCATATCGAGCATTCCAACTTTAAGCAAGTTCTCATATATTATACTTACTGAACTTCCGATACTCGCCTTGTCCACTGTAGGTAGACCTCTTTGGGCGTTATACAGGGGATCGTCCTGGAGACCACAGTTCATAGAGATATTGAGCTTCGAGCGCACCCAGATATAAAGCTGTGCGGTCCCCATGCCAAGTCGGGGGGCCACTTCCTCGGAGAGAATAGCCGGGTCGGCATGGAATATTGCCTTGGCTGTGCTAGACATAATGCTCTGAAATTGCTTCTTAAATGTCATGACCATTGAAACTGAGCAGTTGGGGTTATGAGTGGCCACAAAATCGTTAACCGACGACATGCCGGCCTCAATTCCGGACAAAAGGCGTTCTTGCCAGGTATTGGAGTTTGTGAGAGACCAACTTGACTGGATAGTGGAGATCAATGAGACGCATAATGCCTCACTCTGAAGGCCATTTAATCCAAGTTTCCCAAATTCTCCGCTTGCAATAAATGCCTCGATCTTAGCGTGGATATCTGAAATGAATCGTACGTGGTTTGCCCGGATTTCGATAGCCTGGCATGACACATATATGTGACAGGCACTCATGTGTGCCAATAGGTCGACAGCCTCCATAGTGCGCCGGGCTGAAAGTAGAGCCAGTGAGTTGATACCCTGGTTGTGCATTTCGGCTGACATGACATGAGCGGACACCGGATGTGTTAGGGCTGCTAGCTCGGACATGTACGCTGACATGTTGATGTCAATTCCCTTCATAGTGAAATTGACTTCTGCGGAAGCATTGAGGTTCGCCTCGAGTCCGTTGTTTGTAGCAGGATTGATCATCTCTGTGACCTGGGACCAAAGCATTCGTCCTATCATCTGGATAGCCAAAAGAGCCTTTTCCATAGCCGACGTGACGACGGTTGCTTGGAAATTTCCACCAGAGTACACTTTCCCGCTAGAACCATCGTCCTGCCTGCTTGTATCTACTAGAGGGTTGTCTGAGGTCGAGTTGAGCTCCACTTCAAGCTGGCGTTGTGCTTGGAGAAGGTCCTCAAGATAAGGTCCGATCCACTGCGGAGCTGTTCTTACTGAATACCGATCTTGACAGAGGCCATCTTTAGACTTCTCCTTTTCCTGTCCATCTAAGCCAACCACAAATCTGGAGCCCTTCAAGAAGCGCCGGATATTGCTTGCCACTTCAATTTGCCCAGTGTGAGGTCGAGTCTCGTGAATGAAGGGCAGAGCCCATTCCACGTTTCCGGACAAGCATTCAGAAGCGAAAGCCGTCAATATTTGAGATAGCAACGCAAGCTGCTGTGTATCATAAAGTGCCAGGCTTGCCACAGCTACAGAAGGAGCAGTGCCGTTGATGAGCCCAAGCCCTTCTTTTGGACCGAGTCCTGATGCGGAGAGGTCGCTCATCTTCAATGCTTCCGAGGAAGGCATAACTCTAGCTTCTGCACCCTTGCCGACCTGAACAAAAACATCTGGGTTTCCCATGATTGCCCCAGCAATATATGCCATAGGCATTAGATCTCCAGATGCAGAAATAGTTCCCCTCAGTGGGATAAGGGGAGTGGTGTCGTTATGCAGCAGATCAATCAGGCTCTTAAGTACACATGGACGGATAGCGCTATGGCCCCTAAGATTCTGGTTCACTCGGGCAGTAATGGCGGCTCGAACCCAGGAGAGAGGCATGATATGTGACGACTCCCGGTCCGAATTGCTAACCGGATCCTTGTCTGCAGAAGTGATGATTCCACTTTGGATAAATTGGAGCAAATGCGTTTGCAGGTCGATCAGATCATCGGTTCTGGCGTCGGCACTACCACCGAAGCCGGTGTTGACGCCGTAGATGACACATTTCTGAGTAATTATGTCGGCCAGAGTATCGACGGAGACCTCGAGGCGCTTAGTGAGCCCTGTACCGATAGTAGGTTCAACTCCATGACGGGCAACAGCGACAATAGAAGCAATGTCAAGGGTTTTGCCGTCGAGAATGATGGTTTTTTTCTTGCCGATTAAATCCCGCAAGTTTCTCAAGAGTCGAATTGTTGCGCTCATGTGAGCCGAGCGGTCATGCCGCACCACCGTCATCGTAATCCCAAGGCAACAAAGCATATGGTATCTCGTACTCGGATTAAGTGCTATAATATAATATTTTATCTGTGGGGGGGGCAATGATTCACAAGATGTCGATTGAATGATTCAAAGGAAATAGCAGTGGGAGATGATAGGAGAGGAACCAACAAAGTAGGTAAACTATTATTCCCCTTGATTGGGGCGCGGCACGCTCACAGGCACCGACTTACATTATGATACTACATTTCCAGCACGTGGTGACCAGACTTTTCTGCTCGGGATCTGATGTCACATTTACTACGCCTGCATCGCAGCACGAGCTGAAGGGCAGTAGACGCCGATCGATCAGATCTACATTATACTGCAGTGACAATCTCGGCTCCGCAGAAACTTTCTTGGCGATAGTCTCGACCTTTTGCTTTTTCGGGACGGCACAATCTCAGTAGTATAGTCACTTATGCAGGTGGTGGCTCCGCACGGGCTGAAGTTCAGCTCGTGTGGCTCAGCCCATGTGGACCTTGAAGGTATTTCTGAGTAGTACAATCGATATTAATACTGGCCACTCCGTACTCAACAATAAATGTGTCAATAGTTGACCAGGTGACATCCATAAAGTCTCATATGTACCGATAGGATTCCTTTTCCGAGGCCTCTTTAGGAAACTGAAGTGTCAATCGCTGCAAGTAAAACTAACAGAGCCCGACGTGAGAGTTATGTTCCTTTTACCCCACTAGCGACAGTACATCCTTGTTTTTATGGTTTCACGGAAATGTGATGAATCTATATTATGCAAGTTGCGGTCATATATTGGGAAAATGTAGATCACACAATGAGGCCCGAGACAAGATATCCCATTCCGCAGTGGGCGTTGAAGAGTCCGAGGGCCAGATGCCAAGGCAGGAGTTCGCTCTCTGGCAAGTGGATTGAAGCTCATTTAGCGTGCATTAGTGCAGCGATTGTAATTTTACGGTATCAAAACAGGTGAGTGCTCATACAATTGTGGGTTATAATGAGGAGAAATCTTGGCTGGGTATCTGAAATATGAACCGACAATCATGCGCCTGAGCATGGGATCTTGTACATAGTTATAACCTGCTGGCCAGAGAATGTAGGCGCATTTTCCCGAGGCCGGCGACTGATTGGTTAGTAGTAGCTTCCAAGGTCAGTCGACGACTTGTAGATCTGTGACGGTGTACTTCGTAGTAAAGTACTATCCCCGACGATCAAGGGGTCAGTCGGTGTGAGCTTGGTGAACGTGTTCTATTCCGAAAGATGAACGACTTGGTTCAAGTTCATTGTGGAAACTACTAGTAGTATTATGGCTCCTTGACGTTCACTGGCACCGCAGCGATTGCACATAAATAGAGCTCTGTATCCCTCCAACTTTCCTAACTATCACTCGATATCATAATTATCATTTCTTCTCTACCCATTCATCCATTGATCCCATTCAAGTTCTTCTATAACATGACCGAGACTTCGCCCCTCAACCATACCGCTGGCTTCGGCCTGCGCGAAGGGAAGGGCTACCTCCTCGACAATGGTCACGCAGGAAGTCAACGCCTGAATTACCAATACCTCATTTGGAAACAATGCCTCGGATATACCCTGCACCCCATCATCAGAGACGCAGTTGGAGATCACCCTCGTATTGCCGAAATCACTGCAGGAACAGGCCTCTGGCTTCTTGACACGGCTCACGACTTCCCGAACGCTATCCTCGATGGGATTGACATTAACCTCTCCCGACTTCCGCCGCCTGCGTGGCGCCCCAGCAACATCCACCGCCTCTACAACTGGAACATCTTCGACGAAGTCCCGGCCGAGTTGGAGGAGCGATATGACGTGATCCACCTACGTCTCCTCCTCCTTACCATCTCAGGCAGAGACCCGGGCCCCGTGATCAAGAATGTGATCAAGTTGCTCAAGCCCGGTGGCTGGATCCAGTGGGATGATTTGAGTACCGCGCACACCTATGTTGAAAAGACAGACGAAAAACTTGAGACTAAGGCACTAGACAAGATCAGAGACTTTGTGCACTCGGAGGGTCGCCATGACTGGGTGTTCGATCTACCCTTGCATTTACTTAAGCATGGGTTTGAGGAGAGTCAGTTGACATTTTATCATGGACGGCCCGACTTGATCTGCCATGATACGGAGATTCATCTAATGACTGTTAAAGAGTTCAATGGTCAGATGAAGGCTGATGGACGGGAGGAAGAGGCGAAACATCTCGATGACCTTATCGAGGAGGCATATGAGGAGGCTGGGCGCGGTGCTGGAGTCACGACTCCGAGGGTTGTCTGTGTTGCAAAGAAGAGACCGGTTCCTTATGCTGTGCGCGAGGCTCTTTCTTTTTCCTCTTGAAGCTGCAGCTAGATATAGCTATTCTATTTGTCCCTGATACATCTAGATAATTTCGGGCGGTCTTAGTCCATCAATGATTGATGAATACTTTTTAGAACGGCATCAAATGTAGTCGTTTTCGGTGCTCGTTCATCTTCACTAAAAAGTGTAGCAAGTTAGAACGCCAATTATGCTCCATGATAGAGATGGATGAACAGTCTTCCCAGACTTGCTCCTCGCTATCC